TCACGCACACATCCCTCTGCCGTACTTCATTTTCAAACACGTTCCTTGCAACTTCAGAAAACAAAAGACAGCTTCATTTTGTTTACTGGAAGCCTGGTAACCCATTTGACAGACTGTCTCACTTCCCCATGTGTGAAATGTGTTGGAGGAGTTTGACAGAGAAGAACAGATGAAACAGTGCGCTTCAGCATGTCCATTATTTTGAGAGCAGCCTAATGAGAATTTTCAGCAACTCACTGGGAGGAAAGTTCATTCAACCCAAGACTGAGCTTTAGAGGTCTTTTGGAGCAGCACAATTTCATTTCCTTCAAGTGTAATAAGCAAGAAGAGACAAGGAGCCCACTGCTTAGGAGAAGCCCTAAAGGTCAGGATTAATGAAGGGTTGGGAGGTTTGAAGACTGCAGGCCCAGTTGTGTGCTAGTAAGTGGTTATTTCAACAGTCCTTAAGGGAGCTTATACATAATTTATTTTCTTAAGTAGGTACATGGTGTTGAAATGTTTGCACTACTAATTGGACCAGAAAACTGTGTCTTCGTGGGTATCTGCTGTTCCTAACCGTTCCCAGCAAGGGCTCCACGTTGCATTTCCCAGGCTCTGTAAGGCGGGGTGCCCCAACAGGTCATACCGAGCCTAGAGGCTGGTACCCAGGCCAGCTGGAGTTGCCAATCTTTCTTATTCCTGGATGCAGTACCCCGGCGAGGGAAGCTTAGCCGTAATCTTCAACCCCTGGCATGTGCAAACAGAAAGCTTTAGAGGAAGAGCGTAGACCCAAGCCCAGGTCTCAGCTCTGCTCCCAAACTAGCTGTGTGACCTGGGGCAGGACACTTCACCTCTCTGAACCTTAGACTCTCCACATGCAAAATGAGACATTTGGGCAGGAAGATTTTTGGCAAAGATGACTTTCACCCTGGAATCTCTACTTACCAGCTCTATGACCTGGTTCAGCCTCTCTGGGCCTCAGTTTCCTTATCTGTAAGACAAGGGTGATAATACCAAACTCATAGGGCTGCTGCAAAAATTAGTGACAACAGACAAAATGTGAATGGTGCTCCAGAGAGGGTAGCAAAGCCAGTCTGTGACATCAGGGCTATTCTTAGACCTACTGGAAGGCAGTGAGACCCTCTCCCCATCCCCACACCCAGGTTTCTTTTATCTAGAACGTGCCAACTGTGGACAATTATATGCCAACAGATTGAATAACCTAGAAGAAATGGACAAGTTTCTAGAAACATACGGCCCACCAAAACTGAATCAAAAAGAAATAGATCATTTGAACAGACCAATCACTAGAAGTGAAATAGAATCTGTAGTTTAAAAAAAAAAAAAAAAAAAAACTCCCTGTAAACCAAAGTCCAGGGCCAGAGGGCTTCACTGGGGAATTCCACCAAACATACAAAGAATAACTTATACCAATCCTTCTCAAACTCTTCCAAAAGACTGAAGAGGAGGGAACACTCCCAGAGTCATTCTATGAAGCCACCATCACCCTGATACCAAAACCAGACAAAGACACTACCAAAACTGAAAATTACAGGCTAGAACGTGCCAGATTCAGACTGGCGGTGGCTATCCACTCTACCAGTAACCGGTTACAATTCAGTTGTTGGAATCCAAATGTAGATTTTCAAAGTGGATTTTGTACATCAAAGTATGTCCCCTTCCTACAGAACTCCATGGCCCCAGCGATCTCATTGGCTGCCCTGGGCTTTCAGCAACAGGCTTAACATTCTTAAGGAATAAGCAGTTAGTGGCACATGGCAGTTTCCATCCCCTATAACTACTTCAAGATGAGCTTAGTATCGTGGGGACGTAAGCAGAGAGGACAGGACTCCTCAACCCCACCCCCATTCTTCAATTGATGACTGACCTCCCCCGTAACCCAAATAATTTCTCTCTCTTTTGCTGAAAAGGACCTAGTATGGATTCATGACTCATAAAGATGTCTATTATGTAATCTTCCAAACAAATCCGCTTGCATTCTCTCATTTAGGCGTTACAACCATGTGGCAAGATTATCTTGCTCAATTTTCAGATGAAGAAACTGGAGTTGGGAAAAGTAAATGCCATGTTCAAGGCCATGGACTTGACAGATAATGAGAAATCTGCTTTGATACCTTCTTGTCTGGCTCGAAATTTCAGTGTTCCTTCCTTGATGGTAAAGTCACACCCATGAGTCCCAGCTCTACTACCTACCTCTTCCCTAAGTCTCAGTCTTCCCAACTGTAAAATGGGCATGTGATAATAAGATGCTTCCCCATCAGGGTAGTTGAGACCATAATTAGGAATGCTATAACTCCTATGAAAATGCCAAGCAGGGGCCAGCACAGAGTAGAGGCTCAGGAACTGTTGGTTTTCTTCCCTCCGACTTCACGGGGCCATTGAGAAAGTTGCAGCTGCACACGTGCCATCTCTGAACTGTAACACACGGTACCAGTGTGAGCAATGAAACTGATGGTCATGGGGCCCATCTTTATCTCAGGCTTCCCCCCACAACCGCCCCATCACTCCTGGAGATCCAGGTTTGAAACATGCACCATTAATTCTTACAAACCGATTCAACTAAGGACAATTCTAGACTCTTAGCAACCTTGCAAATCCAGCCCTGCCATCCACGACGGGGCTGTCAGCACCTACCGAGAAGCGCCTTGGAGAATGGCAGGTCTGAAGAAGCAGCAGGCTCGGCCTAAAAGTCTAGACTTAAATAAATTGTATTTTCTGGCTGGCGGCGATAAGGCGTAAATTGGAAGCGCATGTTACACTTACACGTCATTATGCATCGAAATGGGGAAGGGGAGCGGCATCTTGTCCCAAATTTGTAGCAAAACTGCACTGTGTGTACATAGCTCTCAGGCCTTTGATGTTGAGCAGAGAGGAGAGTGATCCTCTCCGAAAAGCCCAGGCAGGAGCGGCTGAGAAGGAGGCCAGCAGAGAAGTGCAGTGAGCATGAGCCCGCCTGTCTCTGAGCCCCTTCTCCTGCCCCTGCAAAGGTAAACTGTCTTTCCTCTAATAAATACCTTCATGGAGAAGCAAGCAAAAATGCTTAGGAACAATCAGTTAGGAAGCTGAGAAGGCCAGAGCAGAGAAAGAGAGGGAAGGGGGTGGGACAAGATGTCAGCGTGAGCTCCCGCCAGAACCAGCAAGGCTGCCCAGCACCACAGGGCGCCTCCCAGAGGTGGGCAGGGGGATGGGAGTAGCAACAACTTGGAGCCCATTCATTCATTCATTCCACAAAACAGACACAGCCCCGCCCCCTCCAACAAACAATCGCGTGAATCGCCATCTAGTTACACGCTTTGATGTGTGCTATAAAGGAAAATACCGGGAGTGTGAGGTTATAAAACAAGAAGCAGTAGCAGGGCTTGTACAGTCCCCATAATACTTGCACATAGTAGGAGCTCATGCATATGAATATTGATTGGCTGATGGAAAAAGCAAGGCAGAGAGGAGCAGCGTATGGCTCAGAAACATCCCGATGACAACGTCAACATGCTCAGAAAGATCGCGTGTGTTAGAGTCAGACAGACATGGCTTTGAATCTCAGCTTCTCTACTTAATAGCTGTGTGACCTTAGGCAAGTCGCTTAACCTCTCTGGGCTGTGGTTTCTTCCTCTGCATAATGGGAGGAACAGTACCCACCTGTGTTTACTGTTGCACGTGATAGCTGCCGTGGTGAAAGAGCAAGGGGCACAGTGAGGAGGGATGTCATATAACTTGGTCCAGGAGCACGGGAAGGCATTTTGCAGGAGGAGATGCATCAATCCAGTCTTGGAGAACAGAGGTTGCCCAGGCAGAGAACTAGATGTTGTCTAGGGAGAAAGAGGAACGAGAGGAGTTACAGGCGGCAGCAGCAACTAAAAAACCACAAGTACTACGTGAACCAGCAGGACACATCCAGAGGTGCTGCAAGTTGTTTGATCTGCTCCACCCACCCACTCACTCGCTCGTTCATTCATTCATTCATCCACTTGACATATATTTCTGGAGCACCCCCAGGTGCCAGGCCCTGTGCTAGATTCCTCGATGTACATGCAGAGGTAGTCTCTGAACCCATGGAGCTTCTCTTCTAGTGGATTCTCGTGGACTCAGATGGGAAGAGGAGGATAGAGCAGGCAGAGAGCATCATAGAAAACCGGGTGTGGAGGGAGGGCCTGGACCTTACTGTAAGGGGGATGGGCAGTCCTGGTGGATTTTAAGCACAGGCTTAATATAGTAGGTTTGCATTTCTGAAAGAGTGAGCCACAGTGAACTTAGAGGATGGGCTGGAGAAAGTTGTCTGGAATCCGGGAGCCTAGCTAGGAAACTGCAGCATCCCAGGCAAGAAATGATGGGGGTCCTAAGTTAAAGCAGAGCAGAAGAGAGAAGGCAAAATTCAAGTCGATGTAGAGACAGTGTTGACGGGCCCTGCCGGCTAATTGCATGTGGGGGTAAGGAAGAGGAGGTGTGGGCAGCCGCTCTGAGGGTCTGGCGTGAGCCCCTAGGCAGGTGGCAATGCTGTTCCCCGGGACACAGTGTACCGGAGAACCATCCAGTGGGGCACAGAGGCTGAGGAAGATTTGATCCCACGGGGACATGCTGAGTGTCGGGGATCCATGGGTCCCCCTGAGGCCACGCTTAGCAGGCAGTGGGATCAGTGTGTCTGGAACCCGAGAGAGAGCTTGGGGTTGGAGGCACAGATTAGAGGGTCAAGAGGATACAGATAATGCCGGACACTTGAAAGGCGCGTTACTGCCCAGGGCGGGGGTGTGGTGTACAGAGGGAGAAAAGAGCAGATCCCACTGCAACAAAAGCCAAAGGTGTCCAGATGTGTTCTTTGATGCCAGAGTCCCACTTGGCAAAAGTCAGGCCATTAGCCAGGGGCGAGGAATCATTGTCGCCAGGAGGGTTGATTGTGACGGGCAGTGGGGACTCTAGCCTGCTGTTGGATTTCTGGGGTCTCCCCAGTCTCTGGAGCCCAGTCTGAAGTCACCCATGTGCTTCTCTCTCTCTCTTCTCTCCTTCAGGTGTTTACAAAATATGGGAAGTGTTACATGTTTAACTCAGGCGAGGATGGCAAACCTCTGCTCACAACAGTCAAGGGGGGGACAGGCAACGGGCTGGAGATCATGCTGGACATTCAGCAAGATGAGTACCTGCCCATCTGGGGAGAGACAGGTGAGCTGGGCCAGGGACTGGGGCAGTGGGTGACGGTGGGGGGGTGCGGACTCTGAAAGACGTTTGCCTCGGGTGGGCTGTCTTGGCCCACCTGGTGAAGGACTGCTGTCCGTCAGGGGGTTAGTGACATGACAGTCAACATAAGGATGTCCCTGGTATGGACTGCAATGATGCCCTGGGTTACCTTGGATTTCACTAGGTGGGAGCGGGCAGATGATGGGACCATTGGAAAGGGAAGGCAGGGAGGAAGGTTGGAATTAACAAGTATGGATGGGGAGGTAGGTGGCTTGGTTTCAGGAGAAGAGGAAGGGGTGAACCAGCTCCTTCCTCTACCACCAGCTTGAATATCCCAGCCCAGCTAGCAGGCCCAAGGGAAAGGAAAGCAGACTCCTCCCACTGAGGGAAGGTGGAGAGGCTGCTGGAGAACTGAAGCGCACAGACACAGGGGCCTGGCACCATGGCTGCCCGTGTGTACAGTCCCCAAAGCTTATTTCATGCATCCAATTATGCATTTATTTATTCAGCAAACTGTTCATTAGCCACGTATGCTATTTCAGGCTTTGCACAAAAATAAGGACATTAAATTGAAAAAGACCAAGCCCTTGATCACAGCCTAGAGGAGGAGACACAGAATCCAGTGGGACATGAGGGTCCCCCGTGCTGTGGCAGGACGGCGGCCTTCGCCTGGGAGGAGGGAGGGTTCAGGGAAAACATGGGGTACTTGCACGGGGTCTTGAGATTATCCTGGATTACACAGGTGGGTCCTCATAAGAGGGGTGCAGGAAGGTCAGACAGAGAAGGCACGTGATGACGGAAGCAGAGGTTGGAGTGATGCAGCCAGTAAGCCCAGGGATGCTGACCGCCTCTAGAATCTCAGCAGGTGGAGAGAGTACAAAGGTGCCCAAGCATGGGACACTGGATGCCAAGGAGACCCAAAGTGAGATTAACGCTGGGTTCAGGGCAAAACGGGGGGGAAGGGGGAGGGGGTCTAGAGATGGGCCTGGGAGGGGCCACAAAGAGGGATGAAGGGAGAGAAGATTCCAGCAGGACAGAGGCTTGGGCCCTCAGGTTGGCGCGGAGGAGAGGTTGGAGGCCGAGCAGGCTGGCCCTCACTTCTTGCAGTCCCCACCCCGTGACTCCTGCAGCTGGTCCCCCCAGCCCCCATCCTGAGGTCTGGCCCTCACCAGGCCCAGGCCCACCAGGCTTCTGAGGGCAGCGAAGGCCTCCCCCGCACCGGGACGACCACCCGCAAACCCCGAGCTCTCCCCCCTCCCCTGCACCGGCCCTCCCGGTGGCTCTTACCTGGGCATCCCACGGTGGGGGGCGCGGGGGGGCAGTGAGCAGGGCCAGTCACCTCCCATTGTGCTCAGTCCTCCGGCTGCTGCAGCTGAGCGGCAAGAGGGCGCCACGCGACTCGTGCCGGCACCATCTCTGGCAGCTCACCTCAGGCTCCAGGCCCTCCAAGCCCAGTCTGACCCTGGTTGAGCAGACGCTTCGATGATCCCGTCCACTTTTCCTGAATTCAGTATCCCTTGGCCCCCCTCCAGCAATGTGGGAGACAGTCCCTCTGGGACCGTAATCGTCCTCCCTCCTCCGCAGCCCTGCGTGCTAGGAAGGGCCCCTCATCCCCGTTTGCCAGGGAAGGAGGCTGAGGTTCGGTGCTTCACCCAGGCCACCCAGCCAGGCCTCCTGAATCCCCACCTCCAGGCTTCCTCTATGGTACCTTTCTTCAGGCTGATACGTCACCATGCACGAGCATCTCTTGGAGACTCTGGTCACCTTAAAGCTGCTCGTTTCCTGCTCTGGTTGGCGGGGTGAGCCTCACGTGGGTGGGAGTGAGGTCCACACACCTGCCGGAGGAGGAGAGGCGGGCTCTGGCCGGTGAGGGATGCTGGTCCACAAGGCCACCTAAGAGGCACGGCCACATCCTGCTGTTTGCTCATTGCTCCCGTGGGCTGGGGGCACGGCCAAGCCTCTCGCCGCCACAGTCCTCGGCAGGGAGGAGCCTTCCTGACCTGCCAAGCCGTGTGGCTCCACAGATGCCATCTTGCCTCCTTTACGTTTCCACTTCCTCTCAATCCCCAGGCAAAGGAGCCTGGGTCCTTAGAGGAGGTATTTGGGTGATGATGGAGAAGAAAGAAATTGAAAGTTGGCTGTTGAGGGAGTGGCCACAGACAACTTGATGACAGAGGCAAAGTAGGAGGACAGGAAAGTGGCTTTACAGAGTCAGACCGAAGATCAAACCCCCAGCCCTGCCTTTATCAGCCGATCAGATGAGAGCTGTCTGCAAACTGTAAGCAGTGGAAGGTTGATAACGGCAACCAGTAGGTGGGAGGATGGTCAAACCCATCCCAGAGGCAGAGACTATGCCAGATATCTCACACCTACACAAGGGTCCTGCGCACCTTATCATCTGGATGTCTCATTCTCAAAGCAGAGCCGTTGGCACATTCTTGCTTCACCTGTCAGACATTTAAGGAAGCAGTGGGGGAGCCACGCCCCCAGGTGTAACTCTGACCTGGAGGATGGACCTTTGGTGCCAAGGAGTGCATTAGGAAGAGGCGCCCTCTTTGGGTGGCCCCAACCCTATGGACTCATGCTTAGCGAGTAGAAAGTAACTATGAAATTTACCAAAATGTCCTTTCCTCCGGGCTGACAGTGCCTCCTTGGTCAGACATCCTTGTGCAAGGCAGCCTGGAAATATGCCGTTTTAAAGATGGCAGGCTCAGTCACACATGGACCTTGACCATATGCCCCCAAGTCGGCCCTATGGGCTGTTAGCAGTTTCAGATGTTACCTGTTACAGGATAGAAAGGATCTGGGGAACCCTGGTTAGGCAAAATTAAACACATTAATTCAAGACAGGAATTCTTTAATACACTACATTATAAATCTCCAGGATAGGCATATTGCATACACCAGTTATTTCCTCAGTGCTTTTGACCGTGGAAAACCTTCTTTTTCATGGAGGAGCTCACAAAATAGAAAAAGGACAGAAAAGCTGTCCTCGACTACGGAAGTGCAGATTTCATGACCAACGTTTTTCTAAAGGAAATTAAATTGAAGGCGGGTGGGAGGTTGTTAAAAATGAAACTCTGTGTAGATGCCTCTGAGTAACTTCAAAGATAAAAGAAATAAGCAGTGGGTTATCTAGGCTGCAAATGAGAAAACCAGATTCAAACAAGCCTGGGCATAAAAGGAATTGTATTGCCCGTGGAATCCAAGGCAAACTTCAACAACCCAGCAGCAGGAAGGCAAGGGTGCAGCATCAGAAACAACTGGAACCAAGGGCAGGAGATTCCTCGATCTCTCACCCCTTCTCTCACCTCTCCTCTTTCTTAACTGCTTTATTCTCTCTCACTAGAGACAGGCTTTTTCCACACATATATCTTTTCACACATGGTTCCCAATAGATGTATATCTTACACGTCCTGCCACCAGCGAGAGACCATTCTGGTTCTCTCACTGATATCCTATTAAAAAAGAACAACAACAACAAAAAAACAGGGAAGGGACTCATTGGTCCAGCCAGTCAGGTGCCCACCTCCGGACCAATCAGTGAGCAGGAGTGTGTTCATGGAAGGACATGGGAGCCCTGAGGGAGCTGGGTTCCCGAGACTGTCCCAAGAATGGCCCTGCTGGGGAAAGAGGGGGCGAGGGTGGGGGTGGGTTACATCTGAGAGAACCAGAATTGGTGTGCAGGGAGCCCTCTAATGAGCTTGCATTCTAAGTAGACAGGCTCAGATTTTATATCCTTCATTCATCCTGATGTAGAATACGCTTTGTAATCAAGTAAACTCCGCCTTGAGGTCCCCAAGTTCTAATATTGCGGGAAAATGAATTTGACATTATATTTTTGAGCAATTATTTTGAGAGTCAGTGCTCTAATAGAGGTCAATGTCTTGCCTTATATTATCTCCCCAGCCTCATCCCCTTTACCCTGTCCCCTTGTTCGCTTGGCAGTAACGACTCTGGCTTCCCTAGAACTCCTTGTACCCTCCAGGAAAGCTTACCTTCAAGCATCTGCATTCTCCTTTTCTTCTGCCTAGAATTCCCTGCTCGGACCCACATGGCTTATTGCTTCACCTCCATTGAGTCTTTGCTCAGACATCACCTACCCTGACTACCCTACTGAAGATTGTACCCCCGCCCCACTCCTTACCCCTCCTTATCTGTTCTGCTTGTCCTTTGTTCCATGTCGTGTGTCACCTTCAAGTATACCATCCTCCTCTATTGAAACACATGCTCCAAGAGATAGGGATCTTGGACTGTCTGGCTCACTGACACATACCAGGGCAATAAATATTTTTTGACATATCTGTTGAGAGAGAGAAAAAAATTGCTATGTTTTGCACACTGATGGGGCCAGGCTGAGGAAGAAACTAATATTAATGAGTAGCTACTATGTACCGTGAACATTCTATCCCATGAATCCTCCAAGTGACCCTGCTAACGAGGTGTTATCCCCACTGAAAAATAAAGAAATTGGAGCCCAGAGAAGCTGGGCTTGTGTGTTCCCCTTGGGGGAATCTCCCCAAGAACACACACTTCACTAAGTGGTTGAACCAAAGCTGAAATCCCACATATGGACCCAAAAGCGATTCTCCTTCCACTATATTCCTTTAATGTTCAAAATGTGATTGTAAAGGCACTGCCATGAAAATAGCTCAGAAAAAAAAAGTTCCAGTGACATCTTTGGAGACAGAATGGCATATAATGATAGGTCTGTTGCTGTTCTCCTTTTCTATTTTTTCCTCTTTTTTTTTTTTCCATAGCAGTATCCTTGTACTGAACAAAAGCTTTAGCACAGCTCCAATATATAAAGCAGATAAAGGTAGAGCTGCTCTGGTCCAGCTGGAGACGGGGCCCCCAGTTTGATTTCTCCATACTCACTGTGGCCGACCCTGAGACATTCCTGGAGGAACCCTAGGACTCTAAGGAGACCAGCTTGAAAACCACTGAATGGGCAACCGATGTTATTGTTAATGAAAAGCACCCAT